CCCCCCCAACCTACCCCCCATAAAAGCCTTTCTGATGCAGATGATATGCCAGTGTGTCAAACCGCCACAATATTGCGCCAACTACCGCCGTGGAGATCTGGATGTCCGTTTTTTTTGTGTTCAAATAAACCCAAATATTCCCAAAGTGCAGTTTGCCTACCTTTGCCCGAGACAACCTCGCTCTCTGTCCGCCAGCGGAATCCAAACTGTTGGAAGAGAAATGGAAAGAATCCCAATGAGTCGCTTCACTTATGTTGCTTTTCAAAGCAAAGCTTCCAAATGTGGTGCGGCTCCGTCGACATTCGAGCAGAGATAACGGGAAGGGGCATTTTGTCGAGTGCGGACCTCTGCCGAGGCCATTGTGAAAATAAAACGCCATTATATTTATTTGTCATGTTAAATGGATCTGTCCCAAAATCGAATGGCCTCTTTCCTCAGCTCACGCTCCACCGAGCCCGTCTTCGCCGGGGGGAGGGGGGACATGACCCGATACGTTGCAAAGGATGCAGGCGCCCGGAACGTCGCATAAAATATGAATGTTCAAGTGGGAGTCATGTCATCCGGCCCCCGGTGACAAAATAGCACATTTAATCAGGTGATGACATTTTTGTGCAAGAAGTATGAGCGGTGTGGCTGGGGAGGTGAGATGGGAATATGATGACGAATCACCCTTGTCTTTCCCCTTCCATTCCCATTTGCAACTTGTGTCATTGTTTATGAGGAAAGAATTGCTCATCATACTGCACACTGGAAGGCTTTTAAAAACCATCTCGCGTGTCCCCCCCCCCCCCCTCCCCCCCCACACGTGAAGGCGTCCACTTGGTAGAACTTCATGAAGATGTCATTGATTTCGATATTTACACCATTGCGGAGACGACATGGTGAGGCATCCTTGCTTGGTACGAATGCATTTTTATAAGATAAGGCGTGTCATTTTTAAGACAAAAATAGATACCATAGACTGTAGTCTGGTCCACGTACTAATTGGATACACAAAAAGAATCACTGAATTAAACATTCAAACTCTGTATAATGTTGCAATGGCTTCAGATATTTTTTTTCATTTTGTACACTGCATTTAAGTACGGTTTCATTTGAAAGTTTGTGTTTTGACTTTGCTTTTAGCTACAATTTCTATTTCAACTGAGCCCACCTTGTTTTCCTTATATCGACTGAGATCGGCAATGCAGTATTCCTTAAACAGCTTGTCGTAATACTTCTTTGCCAGTTCTTTCTCCCTCGGAAACAAAAATACCAGAGGCAAGTTCAAATGTCCAGAGAAAATGCAGCAGTGTAGTAGAATCTACGAAAGGAGACCGCAAGGTGTTTACCACGTCATGTCCTCTTCATCCTCGTCCCTCCAGAGGAAGCGATGATTCTCACGTAGGACATCCGAGTCTGTTTTGTCATTTGCGCTGAAGGGAGGAAAATTGAGGATGGTGAAGAACTGGCCTGTTTTCGACCGAAGACAAAATACATACGCCGAGCGTTTGAAGTCAGCCATTTGTCCTCCATAGTAAAGTATGTAGTCGCCGACAAACTTCTTATGGCGCTCAAACTGGGCAGCTGCTTAAGGACGTTAACCTAGACATGTATTGTGCATGAGGGTCAATTAAACACAAAGGATACAGCAGTCAGTGATATTAAGTGGGCTCTTCTATTCCTGGCTTCCTCTCTGCAAAAAAAAAAAAAAGAAAAGCAGAGATTAACAACATTTAAAACTGATGTAAAATGAATGGACTTTAAAATGAGAGTCAGACATTATGAATGACTATTCGTTTTTTTTTCATTTTGACGTCAACCATCCTTCAAAAACATGTTGTTCAATAATTGTTTGTGATACCGTACATGTGCTCAGATGGGATTGATCGCAGCATACCTGTCCAGTTCGTTGGAGTGAAAAGTGCGGTGAGCCACCTGTGAGTATCGATCTTTCTGGAACGGCTTCTGTAAAATGTCTTCTTCATGTTTCCTGGCATTAGCAAGAATATCAACTTTGGTTCCCTTTATTTCTTGCACATCCCCCTGAAGGGGCAAATGTAACTCATAGCCTCATTCATGTTTTACCTTTTAAGTCTGCTTTCGGAGGTTTCGCCTTGTCTCTCATCGTCGCTGAAATCTGAGTCGTAGTTGGCACCGGCGCCGTGCACCTTTGAAATACACGACAACGTTTGTGTTGGTCTTATGCCGAATAGGGCATGCACGAGAATTTGCTTCACGACATACTGCAAGAGAATTAAAATATTAGGCTCTAAAAACGCGACGACAACATTTTAATCCTTTTTTTTAAAGATAAACTCTATAGTGGCTTGAAAAGAAATTGGCTCATCGTTTTCTGTGCATGTACTCGTTTAGCTACGATGTAATTAACGTAGCGACAATCGCCTCGCAACAATACGTTTTGGATTTTTAAACTAAACGTGGTATTTCAACAACCCCCCCCCAATTAAGTAAATAAAAAATAAAGAAATAAATATACAGACTTTGACGAGATTGTCCATGGTTTATGTAATCGCCTTAAAAGCGCTACGAGAGAATGTTTACAAATAAGCGGCGCCCAAAAATGACGTCTTAAATAAGCGGAACCGCGCTTCGATGATGTCAAAGTTTCCCGGATGAGTCGGACAGATTTGAAAACCACGACCGCATTGTGACCGAAAATGTAAAAATCTTCCGATAAATATCTGCACCACTATAACCAGTGCCGGTCAATGACACTTTTCTGCGTTAAATACACGATTGTGTGTACGTTTTGCTAACTTTAGATCCATTAACGTCGAGCGGCGACCTTAAATTGGCTTATTTAGCCTTTTATTTACATAAATGTTCACTTATGCCATACGGGGACGTACTGCATGGAAAATATATTTTTTTTAAACTGAAACGCAGCTGGTGAAGTCCAACAGTAAATGAAAGGGAGATGTATTTCGAGGTTGCCGTGCACAAAAGAGATCCACGTCGTCGTTTAAACTCTTGAGTTCAAATATAAAGAGGCTATTATGCGTGAAAAAGTTTCAAGCCATCCGTTTTTAAAGGTGGCGAAGAAAGAAGGCTTGTGTTTTGTGCCCTTTTTCCCCACCCACACAGAACAAAGGGACCAATGTGGGACACAACGGGCAGTGGTTATTGTTGAAAGATCTTATCAATAATGCAATAGCATACGTCTCTCCTTAAAAAGAAATATGTCATACTCTGCCGCTTCTTCCTCATACATTACAGCTAGACAACAATGCATTTAATTTGGGAGTCCCATTAAAATGTCTCGTGCACCAAATGAATATTTAATGTGTCTTATTACCATAGCAAAGAGGAAAATGGGGCATCACTTCAATGAGGCAGGTGCATTTGCTTCGAGCCTCGTGAATGAATAGAAGCCTCCTAAATAACGCGTACAGCTTCGAAGCGCGCATAAATACTGACAATAAAAGCTGGAGCGGCTGATAAGACAGAGAACCCCCCACCCCACCCCTGCGCATTTGTTTGGAGCAGCACCCCCACCCCACCGCCCAACATCCTTCTCTTGTTCCCCTTTCATGGGATCCAACTTCTTTGTATGCAGCAGACTAATAAGCAGCAGACAACATTTCGAGGAGGGAGGCGGGAGAGAAGTGGGTTGAGGGGGTGGGGGGGGTTGCTCTATTGCAGGGGGACATCAATCTGTTCTCTGTGCCCATTTGCAGTCCCGCATACTGGAACGGCGTCTTGGACCCGAAAGCAGCGCACACCAACAACGGACTCACTCTGCATTTTTCTTGTGAACCGAGAAGTTGCGAGTCTCAAGCAGGACAATTTAAGGGAGATGGCAACCGCGGGCAGGAGCGCGCGAGGCTGGCCGCTCGTGCTTTGGGTGGTCGCCGCGTGCTCGCTCGCAGCAGACGGACGGAGAGTGAAGCAGGCCCGATGCCCCGCTGGCTGTACTTGCACCAAAGAGAACGCCCTGTGCGACAACGTCCGAGCCGTGCCTCGCACCTTCCCTTCAGACGTGCTCTCGCTGTAAGTGGCTGCCTGCTTTGCTTTACTTGGCGTCACGCGCGCTCCACGCTTCCGAAATGTTCAACCCACCCAGTCTTCTCCGTGCTGTTCAGGTCTTTTGTCAAGTCCGGATTCAACGAAATCGCCGGGGGAAGCTTTGTGCATACGCCTGCCTTGCAACTACTGTGAGTCGATCTCTATTTTGCACTATTGTCGTTTATTTGTGCCGCGGTGAATCCGGCTTTCCATCCACATCGTATGATTTGATATGACCAGACACTTGGTTCTTTCTGCCACTCGCCCATCCATGGTATCATGTCATGTACGAGTACTATAAAAATGCGGCCTTTCCCCGCAAATGAATGGCTGATATTGTGTGCAGTCAAGTTTGTCAACAAATAGTCAGTGTTGTTGTGGACATGCTTTTGAACAAAAGAATCAATAAATAAATGCCTTACCCCAAGTGACGCATTGCACTTGTACAAATAATAAACGCTGTAGCGCAAGACGGTCGTTGCCATGTAGGTTCATTTTGCTGTCAGATTTTGTCATGTGTTTGGACAAATCTAAATAACATACATAAATAATGAGGAACACGCGGCGGCGCCACGTCACTTTGCTGCTTCGGCTCCCGAAGACGGCAGCCGAATTAGCGTCGCCGTTTTTCGCTCACTCTCCCTTTTTGTGTTGATTTTCTCTCGACAGGTTGTTCACGGCCAACTCCTTTGACCTCATCGATGACGATGCCTTCGTCGGCCTGCCGCATCTGGAATATCTGTAGCTATTTCTTTTTCAATATCTTTTTTGGTATCGTGAAATAGCCACATACCAACAAGCAAACAATCTTTTCCAGATTCATTGAAAATAACAAGATTGCGACACTCTCCCCCTTTGCATTCCGAGGCCTGAAATCAATGACCCACCTGTGAGTATCATTTAGCAACACGCCAAGTCATCGATTGCTAATCGCCCGAGATGAAAAGCGCTGCAGCATGCGAGGCTGAGGGTGTCCTTTGGATCAGTTTGCTTCCAAAAAATATGAAGTACACGCTCAAGAAATGGTCTGTTTGCCCTCATATTTGATTCGGAAGAAAGGCAAATGCTCGAGCCAAATCCGCCACGGCCACGACGCGATTTGAACGATTGCCTGTCAGCCTCCTCAACTGCTCGCGCAAAGATAGCGTGACCCAATCCGCAGGTTGAGACCAAAAATAACCGTGCCTTCAAATAACCCCCAAAGCAGGTGACCTATAATCTGTTCCCGAGGTTTCTCACAAGTCATTCCGAGAGGATTTAGAGCGCCGTGCACCAGAAATATTAGACTCTGTCAGCGCAACTTTCGGGGTAATTATGTCCGAGGCTATTTCACTAACGCGAGAAGATGAACTGCGGTAGAATTGACAAATGCATGATTCAATTGGCCATGCTGGCTAAGTCACCCCCACCCCCGACCAACCCCTTTCCCCCTTTCTGCTCTGTCATCATGCATTCAAAGAGCGCAGCCATGCAAAAACGCGCCACTCGGAACACCGGGTCCCAAATAAATAATGCAGCGCTCATGAATTAAGCTGACTTCTTTTTGTTTTCATCCGCTTCTCGTTCCGCTTTGGGGTTGAGAGCAAATGTCCCTTCGGTCACCGCTGCGCATGTTTCTTCTTTCCCCTTGAAGGAGTCTGGCGTACAACAACCTTGAGACGCTGCCTAAGGATGTGTTTGAGGGACTGGATGCTTTGACGAAAGTGTGAGTATTCCCTTGTTTCCTCGTCGCCGCTGGCTCATAAAGCCCCAAAAGTCACCGTCTGCAAAGCCTCATGGATTGGGAAGACTGCGTTTTCGGACATACTCGACTGGAGGAAGTGCCAGGCGTCTCCCTCATTTGGGCAAATGTATTTTGTGCATTACAACTAGGGTCAGATCGAGGAATTTATTTCTTTATTTGAATTGGCTAGTGTGAGCCCTTTCCAAAATAATCGGCCAGAAATTCGCCAATGAAATGATTCTTGCGGGGCGGCGCGGCGGTCGACTTGTTCGTACGTCCGCCTCTTCCTGTGTGGAGTTTGCACGTGCTGCCCGTGCCCGCGTGGGTTTTCTCCGGGCGTTCCGGGTTCCTTCCACATTCCCAAAACGTCCGTGGCAGGTCAACGGAAGACTCGAAATTGTCCCGAGGTGCCATTGTGAGCGCGAATGGTTGCTCGTCTATGTGTGCGCCCTGCCATTGGCTGGCAATCGCTCCAGGGTGTACCCCGCCTACTCACAACGATGCCCTTGCGCCGTTTGCCCACCCGATGGAACTCACTTAAAGAAAAAAAAAACAATCCCGTCGTACCCGTTACCACATGCATGGCTATCTATGCACAAATGCGGCGGGTTAGGTGAGTGCTGCAGGAGCTCCCGCGCGTGATATTTTCCTTCTCATTGTCATCGTTTGCTCAGAGATGAGGCCGTTTGACCCTCTGTGCATGCGACGCCGAGTTTGATCTCGTAGCGCACTCACACGTTATGCGATTGTACGAAGGGACCTGAGAGGCAACAACCTGCTCTGCGATTGCAAACTCAAGTGGCTGGTCGAGTGGATGCGCCACACCAACGCCACCCTGGACCAGATCTACTGCAGCGGGCCGCCCGTCCACCGGGGCAAGAAAATCAATGACCTGCTGCCGCGCTCCTTTGATTGCATCGCGTCAGGTAGCAAAAAGACAGATGACATTTTGACCTCCCGTATACGGATGCTAAAAATGATGCTCCTTCGCAGAGTTCGCCGCCTACCAGTCGCTGAACTTTGAGTCCATTTCCGTTGAGGCCTTCGCCTTTGGTGAAGAGCAGTACGTTGTGTTTGCGCAGCCGTTCGCTGGGACGTGCAGCTTCCTGGAATGGGATCATGTCGAGATGACCTTCCGAAGCTTCGACACCATTGAAAGTAAGTCGGGCCGAGGGAAGCGCCAACCGAGGCTCGACGGTGAGGCGCTAACGCTTCTGCGACATGTTCCAGGCACTTCCACCGTGGTCTGCAAGCCCCTGGCCATCCGCGACCACCTTTTCGTCATTGTGGCGCAACTCTTCGGTGGCTCCCATATTTACAAGCGGGACGTTTCTGCCAACAAATTCATCAAGATCCAGGACATCGACATCTTGAAAATCCGCAAACCCAACGACATCGAGACCTTTGTGATCGACGGCGAGTCGTTCTTCGTCATCGCGGATAGCTCGAAGGTAGCCCGTCCTGTCCTGTCCTGTGCCGTTCCCTTTCGTTCTCTTGTGACATTGGGCTCCTCTTGTAGGCCGGCGACACGACCATATACAAATGGAACGGCAACGGGTTTTACTCTCACCAGTCCCTCCACCCGTGGCACCGAGATACAGACGTGGAATACTTGGAGATCTCCAACAAAGCCCACCTGATCTTATCCAGCAGCTCCCAGAGGCCCGTGGTTTATCAGTGGAACAGGGGCCGCAAGAGGTTTGACCGCAGGACCGACTTACCGGAGATGGAGGACGTCTTGGCCGTCCGACACTTCCTGGTCAAGAGTAAGAGCTTGAGTTTGATTATACGGTGCTCGCCCTCGACTCTTACAATTCGCGACATCCGACTTTGTCGAAGGTAGAGCTACTCCAACTCGATAGGTTCGCATTTACAGGCGCAAGACTCAAAACAGAATCAAGTCGGTGCGCAGTGAGCTTCACGACCCTTTGAACCTTTGTCCTTTTCCAAAGGTGAGCTGTTCATTTGCCTGACGAGATTTATCGGGGACTCCAAAGTGATGCGTTGGGACGGCGCCATGTTCAAGGAGGTCCAGACCTTTCCCTCCCGCGGATCCATGGTTTTCCAGCCCGTCTCCGTCGGCAACTGGCAGTACGCCATCCTGGGCAGTGATTATTCGCTGACGCAGATCTACCGGTGGGACGCCGAGCGGGGCCAGTTTGTTCCGTCCCAGGAGCTGAGCATCCAGGCGCCGCGGGGCTTTTCTCTGGTGTCGCTCGACGGGCGGGACTTCCTGATTGCATCCAGCTTTAAGGGGAAGTCGCAGATATACGAGCATCTCATGATCGATCTTAGCCATTAAATCCGCCCTCCCGTTTGGGCTCGCCGTCTTCACCGTCCGTCACTGTTTATCTGACATGTGTTACGACTCGTTTAGAATGCAGGCAGTGCACACGCTAGGGGAATCTGGTGCTGATGACCGGGGGGGAGACGCTTGGGGGGCGGCCGGCGTAGATAAGGATAGCGGGTCTTGGAAGATTGAAGAACAGGACATGGCCGGGGGGGGGGACTTGAGCTGTGGTCCAGGCTTAGAGGAAATGCAAAACAGCGACCCGGAACACTTGCAGATCTTGTCGCGTTTCATATGACGCAGCGGAACCGGTCGCATCGGAGACCCGCGTCATCCAATGAAAAGAGGATTTTCAAGACGTCATCAGTCGCGGTTCGCTTCTTTTCGGATGAGGGTTTCACAGTCGAGGGGCTCGGGGTTCAAATCTCGGTCCTTTCTGTGCGCAGCGGGCTTTGCTCCGCCAACTCGGGCTCCCTCCCGCATTCCAAAAACACGCATACCGCTTTGATTTCAGATAACATTTATTCGTCCTACAATGGGAACATTTTCAAGACTCGAACATTTGCCCCAACCGTAGATGTCAACGGTTGTCTTGCCCATGTGCCCTGTAATTGAACCGGGGTCGACGCCGCCTCAGCAGGGATAGAATCCAGCCCACTTGTGACCCCGAAAAAGGCCCGTCGAACATACTGGGGTTTGACAAGCATCCCGTAATGGATGATGTGCCACTGTCACAGCGACTGCGCGAGCTTGAGCAGACTTCATTCACAGTACCATGTGTCGCGTGATGGAGGGTGGACGATTGGGACTCTGCTGCAATTTAGCGACCGAAAAACATGCTCCAAAGTGAGAATGCCATCGATTCCGTTGACACCACTTCCAGAGCACGCAATCAGCTCTTCTCCATCCAATCTGTGACCGTCGCTTACGCAAGACTCGATGCATGATGCCGACACTCGCGGCGGTGCTTTTCGGATGAATGACTCACTAGAAGCGTCCCACTGTGTCACCCGCCTCGCTCCCTTTCACTGCACTCTTGCCCCGTTTTCGCCCTCACTGACAAAAGCATTGTTGGGAGTTGCAGTACCTGTGCATTCACACGCTCCTCTCGTTGGGAATCACAATGCAATTCTGAAAACGGTTCACACGACCCGCAACAATTGGCCAAATAGGATTTTTACTTACTTATTTTGTTGATGACACTGTACAAATAATGGAATTCATACCACACAGCTTTTGGAGGTAGAAATGACCGCACTCGGTCTTTTTTTTGTCACTTGGTGATGTTAGCGACAGCATGATGTTGAGTATCATTAAAACAATCGAAAATTCCGATGTTTTTTTCATTTATTTTGCAGTTATTCTGTCATTGTGTGTGTACAGGTATGTGTGTGTGTATATATATATATATATATATATATATATATATATATATATAAAATTTCTATGTGCAGGGAAGTTTCTCTACTTTTTGGGTATATCTCATGTGTACTTTACAGGTGTTGAATTAGTACTTCTACCTTTCCAAGGGGTGCGCATCTCTCCACAAAAGACGATTTAGTGCGATGTAACAATTTCAAAATATGACAACCTGATAGACCTTTACGATCTTTCGGGACACGTAAACACATATATACATACGTCTAATTGACTTTTATTTAACTTTGGGTTCAATTCGATGGCAACCCACCCCCCCAGAAAATGTCACTGTTACAGCTCAAATTTAATCTGTGCGTACGAAATTGTATTGAAGATTCATCAGTGTGGGTTAAATCAAGGGGGACGATGGAAAACTCCGATGGGTGAAACTGTACATGCAATAATGTGTGTATGTTTTTATTTTTGTTTTTACAGGACATTGGTAACGGCTCAAGGGGGAGACTGAAAGTGTTCTGCAAACTGTATTTGCGCCGCATTTTCCCAGAAACCTGCAACTATTTTTTTCTTTGAATGGGTAATACAACAGAAGATAGTTTTGATCGTAGATACTTTAGTCAAAAAAGATCTGTACTACCTCATGTGACATGGACATTTACTATGAAAATAATCATGGCCTTGGTCACTTGCGACTTAACAATGAACAGTATGCAAGGGTTACGTACAGAGTGTGAGTGCTCTGCCACCTCCGATTAAGGGATTCAAGTGTCAGCATTGTGACAAAGAATACGTTTATTCAATCGTATGATGGGCCTAAAAACGTAATGCGCGTCAGGTGTTGGTGCAAACAGCGTCGTCCTGAACACCCCCCCCCCCCAGCAAACCGGGGGCGTGAACGTTGGTGACTGTTTCGGTTGTCAATCAAAGTGGCGGGGAGGCTTCATTTCTTCTCCCCCCTGTGGCTAAAGTCATCATTGCATGCGAGTCGGCGACCGGGCCAGGCAAGGTTAGTTATTAACTTCGCCTTTCCAACCACTTGTGGGGAACCAAGGGCCGGGTAGTCGCCGTGTCGAGGCATGCTGCCGCCCGGCGCTCGCATCTTACCATGGCTGACCGCGACCATTGCCCACCGGAGAGCGCGTTAGTCGCCCCCGATCACGTCACGGTCGTGTTCCACAAAGTTGCCAGTCATGGCGAAAATAGCGGCAGCGACGGCGGCCGCTGGTGCGGGGACAGCGAGCCGTCGAAGGAGGGGACTCACTCGCGAGCGTGGCGGTACCTCGACGGCGATGCTGAGGAGGACGCGGCCGCTTGCAAGTTACCGGAGGGCGGCGAGAGGGAGACGCTGTGCCCGCCGCCGGTGTCGCGCGTCACCAGGAAGCCGGCATCCACCGACCAGAGCGCCAGCCAAGGTACGCTTCATTTCCAATTCGTGTGTGCCCTTGTTGCTTAAATTATATTTTCTATGTTGCCTTCTGCAAAAAAAAAAGAAGGCTGGAAAGTGTATTGATTTACTGTCGCGTGACGTCACACAGCGATAACGGTGCTCTTGTCACGTGACTTCTATTACGTAAGCGCGACTGTACGTTTACTGTCGTTTCACGTTTCCGCGTGTACGTTGAAATGTTTTATAATGTTTTCGTCAATCTCACAGCAACTGAAAACCCTGTGAGGCTCCCCACTTAATTTCGCGCACAATGGCAATCTACAAATCGTTCATGAATTAACGTTATATGTACTTGATGTCATCATTTTAGCTAGTTTGACGAGCTGACCATTGAGCATTATTTGGGAGAGGTGTGGGGGGGGGGTCACATTTCCCTCTTTGGTAATTTAGCTATTCATAACCCGTTTAAGTTGTAAAAATGTGTATAGGTAGCAAAGAAAAACAGATGAATGAAAAGCGCACAGTTTGATGCACACTTCTCTGAAATAACACATTTACCCTCATGTGTGATTTTTAACCATTTATTTGAAGACACCGAGCACGTTCATTAGAATCAGGTAACGGATAAATATCACATTTAACACTTTCTTTAATTGTCAGCTCATGTGAACATTTTCAAACGGTCACTACTGGCAAATCCCAACGTCTCCCCACAGGCGTGTGCCCTTCCTCTCGCCCAGAGTCAGCTGTGATGGGCTCACCTGTGACCTGAGGAAAAACGCGACAGCAAATGGATGAATGGATAGACCTGAGTTGCCCATTATTAGTTTCTGACCAGGGTGGGGGAAAGGTTAGAAAATGACAATAACGTTTGCAGTGAACGAGAAGGTATTGAAGTTCTTTTTGGAACTGTACAAGGAAATTGGACACTGCTCATAGCATTGTACCTAGTAATTCCTACCGCTTTCTGAACAATTAGGCCTTTTCCTGACTAAAGGTTAGAACAAGCAATCTGATATCAGCGATGGCAAATAGGCGTCACGCTGTGCAGGATCACAAAGACGGCGGAAATATGACCTCGACAATCGGTATGCTTGGCTTGAGTTGTTTTCGAAACCATTTTTGTTCTCTTTCCTTTCCACAGGGAAGCAAAAGCGGTGTCCGGGCCTCGGGTTGTTCTACGCCTTTGTGTCCACCGTCTTCTTTTCCATCATCTCGCTCTTGGTGAAGACCATCCAGGGAGTGCACGCTATCGAGATCAGCGGCATCCGCTGCTTCTTCCAGATGCTCTTCATAGTGCCCTTACTCATTTACCACAAGTAAGCATGAGATGAAAGGGTTATTCGTCCCCTCGAAGCGGGACTGTGGAATAACATTGACTCTGTGTTTATTTTTGCCGCCTTGTGTATATCCATGATACTCAAAAATTTCGATTTTTGTACAATCAACCAAAAGACTACAGTCCACTTATTGCACATGATGTCATTCTTTTATGATCTTTCACACTTAGCAGAAAAACACACATGAAAACTCCTAAGTCGGCCGTAGTTCTCTACTTGCTTTGCAGAGGAAAAAGAATATGTGTTGTTCACACGATAGAGTGATGAGCTTTTTCTTTTTTTTCAAATTTGCGAAAATGTTTTCCTATTTCGGAACCAATGTGTGAATATTGCAATCTCTAAAATGTTTTTTATATGGTTTGAGATAGATAAAAACTCACCAGATTGTCCTTCCCTCACACTTCCCCCACCCCACCCTCCACCACCATGAAGCCACACCCTTACAAAATGACATCTGGACCACATTTCAGCCCATGCATCCATCCTTGCGTCATCTCTTACCCAAAATGCAATTGACATCCATCACAGTCTGGTCAGCCCAACCCCACCATCCATTTTGTTTTCCATTCATCCGTCACCCCCATATCTGTGCTCCTGCAGGACAGGCTTCCTGGGTCCCCGGGACAAACGTCCATATCTAATGCTGCGGGGCTTCCTGGGCTCCAACGCCATGATCCTGCTCTTCTACGCTGTGCAGCAGATGCCGCTGGCTGATGCCACCGTCATCATGTTCAGGTGAGATGAAACATTCCTATCTGGGCGCGCTAGACTTGGGTAAATATACGAACGCATTTTTTTTTTTTTGTTTTGAAACAGTAATCCAGTCTTCACCTCGCTGCTGGCCTGGGTCTTCCTGAAGGAAAAGTGTACAATGTGGGACTGCGTGTTCACCGTCTTCACCTTGACCGGGGTCATCCTCATCGCCCGGCCGCCGTTTCTCTTTGGTCAACATATCCAAGGCATTGAGGGAAACTACACAAACCACATCAAGGGGACCATCGCTGCTTTTGCGGGTGAGTTTTAACTGTTAACAGTTTGACAGAATCTGTTATCCAGTCAGTGGATACATTTTTGGTTAATTCTATTTGAAATGTTGAACCAGATTTCATCTTCGATCAAAAATTATATATGCTGTTAATGGCAAATTTTTGTTAAAAAAAAAAAGTAAAATCACAGGGTTTAATTATCCTGAGTCCTCTTCTGTCATATGGTGTTCCACAGGGTTCAAATTTGGAGCCCTTGCTGTTTTTATTTTATCTGTTTATTTTAAATATCAAATGTTCTTTTAATTGAATCGCAAACAGTTTTAGAATTTATTTTGGATTGAATTCAATTCAAATGTCTGGTTGAAAAAAAAAAAAAGAAGTAATTGCAACTGGATTATCTTTCAAAAGCGTTCAGCCCTGATCTCGATATTTGTATTTTTTTTTCCGTAGGAGCGATTGGGGCCGCATGTACCATGGTTGTCCTGCGTAAGATCGGGAAGAGCGTCCACTACTACCTCTCGGTGTGGTATTATGCCGTCATTGGCTTCATCGAGTGCGTCATCACCGTCAGCATCCTCGGGGAGTGGAAAATCCCCTCGTGCGGCCAAGACCGCTGGATGCTGATGCTGATCGCCGTCCTGGGCATCGCAGGCCAAAGCTTCCTGACCAAAGCCCTCCAGCTGGAGAAGGCCGGCCCCGTGGCCCTGACCAGGACGGTGGACGTGGTGCTGGCCTTCTTCTTCCAGTTCGTTTTCTTGGGCCGCGCGCCCAGCTGGTGGAGCCTCGGTGGGGCTCTGTGCATCGTGTTGAGCACCAGCGGCGTCGCCTTGCGCAAGTGGTACATCAACTCACGCAAGAGCTGAAAGCAAGTAGTCTCGCTTGCATTGCTATTTATTGTTTTCACTTTCCCTCGCTACTCTTCGTCTTGATTTCTTCTGTACCCTATTTGTCATGAACATCAAACCGCATTGAACCAAAAGCCTCCAAAGTCGAGTCTAACCACATAAAAATTCAAACCCAGACCCGTTAAAAAAAAAAAAAAGACTTCAAAGGCGACACATCACACTTTGGGCTCATAACTGATGTGGTCACGGTCTGCACGGTATCGGAGAATTTCGTACCTCGGTATCGGCGCATGCCTAATTTCAACTAACCATTCAGAAACGTGGCTAACTTGAAATAGGGAAGCTTCGAGCTGCTCAGCGCAACGCATTGGCTTGAACATGAAAACAGAAATCCAAATGAAACGTCATTCAGAACATTGCCAAACTTTAAGAGGGCAACGGTTACGAGCCCAGATTGAATGTTTTTCAAAAGAAAACGGTAGAGGTCAAACCGTCACTGATTTGGATTGTGTTGAACTTTGGTGCTTGCACGAGACCTCGTCACAGGAAGTTGTCATTTTCTTGACCTTTCAAATGAAGCGGAACGATCTGTACTACAGTGAAGACCGCCGCTGCTGCCTTGGGTCCTGTGGAGTGAAACGTGTATTTACACTTAATTTTCTCTGTTCTTTATGTGCAATGCAAAAAAAAAAAAAAAAACTGAAAATCTGAGTACCACCGCAGTGAAACTGTTTGATTAAAGACAGCCTAAGCTCGTCGCCACGCCGTCGAGCCTAAATGAAGTCACTAAAGCCAGCATTAGGACCGTTCACACTGTGACCCCTCCCTAAAAAAAAAAAAAAAAAATCTATGGTGGGTTGCCATCATCTAATAGATGATCAAACATGTTTGAAAAGACTGTTTAATACAACAGATGTGCACTCCCATTTTGTTTCAATCACTTCAATTCCGCACAATTAAAAGAAAAAAAATTCCAAGCAAGTATGGACATTTTTGTAACATTTCTCGGTTTAAGTGAAGTAGGATTCTCAGGGATCGCTTTCGTGAACTACTGCAGGAATTGATTTGCTCTCTCAAAAGATGATATCACGTTACTGACGATACACTGTAAGTCGATACCGAAACGAAACCTGTGCCTTGACTGGGAGTAAAAGGCATTGGGACACTTCGCAAGCAAGGAGTCTCCCCCAAATGTCGAATGATGCGTTCCGATACTTGCACTGAAGGGTTGTACAAACCCACATTTGGAAGAATTGTTGTTGACTGAAATGCTGTGATCGCTCAACGCGCTAAAAGCGACGAGTGGTGCCTTGAGACAATGAGCTTAACACGTTTCATCTTTCGCCGTTTAACTTTGTGCGTTAGCATCAAGCTGGCGGACTTGAGCGAGGCGAAATTTGACAGTGCGACCGGGAGTGGCGTTCAAAAGCTTGAAGCCTCCCTCTTTTTGGTGGGCGAGGAGTTGTTCGCTATCTGCCCGAACGGTGCTTGCTGTGAGTCAAGTTCAGGTCACCGCCGCGATACAAAGGTTTGAAGGACGGCCGGTATCTCAAGGCACCGCTTTGCTACTGCGAAAACGAGCATTGTTCGATGTCAAAGCAGAGTCTTCAGACCTATTCACGTGTCACTTGGATGACAGCTGCTGTACTGTACGCTTTTGTTCTCGTCTCTTCAAGTTCAACTTGAGCGCGCTCGCTAACCTGACATGAATATTTCGACGTCCTCGTGAAACCTGGGCGTCACGCGAACTTCGGCAAAGTCGACGTGACGACGTTTGATTTAGTGATACCCTTTTCAATCTTGATTCTAGCTCCTATTTACACCAAAATGATGCTGAAATGAAAGCGTTAGTCTTCAACCCCACAAAAATATATTTTTGCTTTTCGCTTTCCCAAAAATCTGACCGATTTTAAAGCCCTAGAGCAGGGGTGCCCAAACTTTTTGGAGCGAAGATCTACTTTTCGATAACCAACCTGCTGCGATCGACCCGTTAGCGCGCATCCGCACGCGCGCATACGCCTGACGCTGAGGCATGCGACGCACTTTTGCAGCCTGTTCCCGATGGTAGCTCACGCGTAACATTTTCAAATGCTACTCTCGGCCCTCCAGATTCCCATTCTTTGTCCATCCCCTCGGTGAATTTTGAAAAGAAACTCTGAATGAGAATAATGATAACGATAAAAGATAGAGCGCAACAACTCTTGTCACAAGCTGCAACTGCAGACTGCTAAGCGCTAACAACTTCCGGTGACGCAGGCACACGTCACCATAGGTTAAAGATGACCTGCTTTCTTTTCTTTTCTTTTTAAAGTACTTTTTGTGAAAGTGAGACTGATTGAATTATTAGGGTGCGGTGTGCATTGACACAAAAAAATATATTACTAACTTGCACAGAGAGTTTGTTTTTTTTTCCGCTCGACACCCCTCGGATCGACTTGGGACCAGTCCTTGATCTACTGGTCAATCGCGATCGATGGAATGGGCACCCCTGCCCTACAGATTACACATTATCTACTCGCTTGCTTGATTTTATTATTATTATTTTGGAGTCATTCTGTCGACCTGATTGCACATTGTTTCCAATGATAAGTAAATGAAGAATTTTGTTTCAATCTTAAATTAGAGCTCTACTGCTGTTGCTTCTGTTTATTGTCATCATCTCTGTCATGCCATTGTGTACATTTCTGCATACAGATGGATTCTATTTAGTCCAACACGACTCAGTCATAAAGTCCCCACGACCTCGATCGATTACACCTGATGTGAATGTGACTGGTTTAGTTGTTTTACAGACTCTCTTGTTAAAAAAAAGAAAACCAAACAGTTCTCCAGCACTGAAGCCAAATAAACCACTGAGTCAGGTGAGAGGATAATGCCCCGCTGGGATGGATTGTTGTCATTGTGTGCGTGCATGTGCACAAAGGCTTCTTTGTTTATCTCTCTCCCGTCACTGTAAACAGCGCCCTTTTTTTGTGGGGCTGCTGCATAAGACATCGATGCAGGGTTGCACAACATCGAGGACACATTCTCCTTCCTGAATCGAGAGCACTATTCAATGTTCACTTTTAGGGCAGTTGAAGTGGAATACATGCACCTCAAGTGACGGTCTGGGGCATTTAATAAGTTTGCTTGCAAATCGGTGGGGGGCTAAAGATACAGTGGGTCCTCTACTTACTGAATTAATTGGTTCTGGAAGAAATTTCTTAACTAGGAAAAATTTATTAGGAGAGACGCGTTTTCCATGTAAATGCCCTAACTGGTTCCAAGCAAGTTGTGCATCATGTAAAAAAGAAAGAATAAAAATGATGGTCATTTAATTTTGACTGGGTCTTCGTCGTTTTTTGTCCTCTTTTGCTCATGTTCTCTCTCATAAGTGTTTTGTGTCTGGCGTTTTATAAAGAACTGATACAAGGACGTTTGCTTTTGTCGGCTTTTAACAATCCTTCGAAAATGTCCAAGGCAAACATCAACATAGTGAGCCATCGCTGGACCGGTGAACACTTTCTGGGTGATTGACATTTACGTAAAAATATCGGAACACCTCGTGGCCCAAGGGGCGAATGATGAGGACGCTGCATACACTCAGTGCAATCAGATTTATTTATCTCATACGGTACAAAGTCCCTCTTAGCCAATGGGATGTCAGGATGATGCTCGGTAATTAGCCAATGGCAGAGCAGCTAGAAGTATGTTGCGTTCAGAAAAACTCGGAGCTGCGAGTAGCTCCCTGAACTTTATTTTTACCTCGTAGCTAGAAGTATGTTGCGTTCAGGAAACTCGGAGCTGAGAGTATCTCCCTGAACTTTATTTTTACCTCTCGTGTCCTGACATTTCTTTCGAAGCAAGAGGCAATCTTTTCCTGTTGAGGCGTTTCGTAATTTGAAATTTTCGTATGAAGAGATGTTCCTAATTAGAGGTACCACTGTACAATGTTTGGAAATGAGGTGAAGCGGTCCTGAGACGTGACTGTAATGCACAAGTTCTGACACTAGAGGGAGCAATGTACCAATCTGTGCGAACCAATCTCAGCAGCGTCGTCACCTGCCTGGCTCGTAATACAAATCGTTTAAATTCATTTACAAAGGATGCAAAAGCATATTTACACTTAGTCACTGGCCATCTTAATGAAATATACCCAACAAATTTCTATCATGCTTGATCGGGTCATTGACTGACGGACGTGCTAATTCTTTCTGCCATGTTCCAAACAATGTAAATTCGCAGTGGTAGAACTACAGTACATCACACTCCTTGGTGGAGAGGAATGATTTTTTTTTTTTCAACTTTGATTTTTTGTTCTTTTTTTCCGGGGGGATTCCACATTCCTGCAGGATGGCATCATGCTTCACATCAGTGCGCAGGGGAGGGAAAATGAAGTTGAAATAGGCGCCTTTGCAGGCTGTCAGGTTGAAAGGACTTTTGTGTATGTGTGGGCAGTCAGTTCAGACGAAGAAGAAAAAAAATGGAGCCCTACATACAAACATGCTGTAGACTGGATGCAGTAGGAACGACAAAGCAAAAAAAGGCAAGCAACAAGGTCAGCGGTGTAATTGCCACCTAATGTATAGGACTGCAAAAATGGACATCTGGCATTGGCGAGTTGGTAAATTGCATCTGCCAGACATTCCAAACGGGTGACACACTCGCGTGCGCGCGCGCACGTTTAGACACAGACCAGACTCGCTTATTGTCTTCCTGTCCACAGTTTCGCGACGACAGAAAGGCTGCATTCACGTACAGTTGGATGTTTGAGGACGTGCAAAATCACTCAATTGAAAGTATTTTATTCGATTTCGATTTGGCAAAATGTTTTCCTCAACACCGTTTGTCATGAAGATAATAATAAAAAAGTCAGCCAATGATGTCAAATGAAATAAACGAGCTTTTATTAATAGCCACCGCCCACCGGATTACGGTGTGAGATGAAGCATTTTAAATGATTTGGAGTCCAACGTAAAAAATAAAAATAGAAAGCTTAAAATTCATCAGAAATCAAATGCTGTACATAATATGAATGGCAGAACCACCATCTTATGATGTAAAATGAAATAGGCGACTGTAAATGACAAAATTGCGGAATATTAGAAATGTGAATTTAAACCCAAAACAATTCTTGCAAAAATGACAGTGGCAAAAATACGGAAAGATACAAAACGGCGAGCAAACGGGGGTCCGAGTCTGTCCGTGTACGTACGTTGAGTACATATTACTGTACTTATGAAGGTGTTTGGGGACCGCAAAATATGACCCAAAAACCCACTGATCTTCAAATTATCGAACTAAATATACAAATTATAGAATGATGACAACATTCGGCGTCTCGTCAAAGTATGGAATAGCAACAAAAAAAAAACAACAACAACAAGAGCAACAAAATCGCGCAGTCAGATATTCACGAAGAGGTCGCGCCAGTTGCGCAGCCCAGATTCCCGAGGTGTCCCTGAACGCATCAGCGAAATCCAGGGCTGCTGCTTCGCGTGGTGCAAGTCGAGCAGTTTCAATCAACTCGCAGCCGGCCGCAGGCGTTCTCCTCTTTCGTTTTCCTCACTCGCTGAACTCTTGAGCACCTGACACAAAACTTGACGGAATACGTGCCGGATGTAACTTCTTCCCCCGTCGGTAAGTTTGAGCTCCGACGTCCTCAAGTATGAATGGCCACGTTTCCGGGAGCCTTGTTTGTTTGTTTGTTTAATCACCGCACTTTGCTCGTTGTGACGCGCGCGATTGTTTGGAGTGTTCGTGAAAAAGTAGAAACAGTGGAAAAATGGCATGAATTGACATGTGCGTTTATTCGGTTGAATACCCGTTGCCAACTTTGGTTTTAACGGCTAAGTGATGAAGTTGCCTATGACCATTGAGTGCTAATTTGGGGAGTTTATCGGAGGGAAATTTGACTTTAAATAAATGACGACGTATGGCAAACGTAACAATGATCATGCGGGACTGAAAAAGCTCAAAAGGTGCTCATGTTCATTTTATTTGTGAAGTCCGACACTGTTGTCGGTTTTGCATTCTGGCTGGGTTTGTGTTGACAAGTGTGGAGAGTCAGGAATTTGGTTGAGACGACATGACGTGCTGTTGTGGGGAGCCCCTCGGGCTTTCAGCTGTGGAGCGACTCAACTTTGATTGCATTTGTGAGTTACGTTTTTCTTTTCTTGAGGGTTTGTTTCCAATGATGGGCTCTTAAAATATGACAGTTGCATGCTCACTTTCGAGCTCATATTGGAGCAAACACGAGTTTGCGCGATGTGATCAGCATATCGAAATGTATCATCCCGTTCAGCGGTCTTTGTTAAGGCAACAAAAGCAAACATTCGAAGTCGGGCAAAACAACAAAACAATTTTTCCTTTTGACGTCGTGAAATTTGTCTCGTTCCCCAAAAACAACGCACCAAATTGTTTTGGAGCAAACAACCTTGCTTTGTTGTGCTAAATAACATAGTTGCCTTAAATGTCAATCACTTAGATTTCAAAGTTGTTCCAACTTAAATGACTGTTTTACCCCCCAAAATACGAGTAATTTTTTTTTTTTTTTTAACAATCTGGTCAACGGAGACCTGAATCTTGCTCCTCTGTTCTGTTAACGTCTTCAAACAACAAACTAGATTCACCCTTTATGGATGGATGACTTACAATGTACACCAACAAAACCACAATGTACGAGGAAGCACATTGGCATTTTGCAATTATGCAGTGATGCTATTAGGCTAACACAATGTCAAAACAAAACACCGTAGCATAAGTTTGACAACAGTACTTTTGTTTGAGTGGAGTCCACCTCGACTGTTCGGCTCCACATTTTCTGAGGCAACTCTTTTTGTAATTAGAGTTGCAAAAAAATCCAACGAAGGCTAAAGTTAATCCAATGATACTGCAAAAGTGTTTCAATCTCGGGCCGCAACGATTAATCGAATAACGCAAATCATTCAATTAAAAAAAAAAAAAAAAAAAGATCAGCGCAAAATCTCTGAACGTAAAATATGGGGGGAGGGCACCCGGGGGGGCCTACCCCACAAAAACACAAGCTCACGTTGATTCATTCAACACACACACAAACTGCCCAACCCAACCCTTTCATTCACCGACACCCACGTCACTCACCAGGGCAGCCCCCCCCCTCCCAAAAGCAAATGCGTGGTCAAAGTCACTGATTCTACACGAGAACATGAGGAGGGCCTCACGTGCACATTGAGGCGCTTTAAAAATACACATTTTAATCCGATTGATCGGTAGAATACTCTGAAAGTTTGCGACAGCTGGAGTACAAATCTCGTTTTGTTTTTTTGTTTTTTTTAAATCATGATTTTACATTCTTTTTGTGACACCTTAACCTGCTCTCGCAAACACTTGCAGTCATTTGCCCAGAAAATCCCATCAGCCCCGTGCCTTTGTCACTTAGCACGCACAGGCGCGCGTGCGCCGGCAGCGCCTCGCTCTCTTTCCATTGGCGACTCGCTCAGCCCTGCCCTCTAATCAAAGCCATGTGTGCCGTTTCCCCATGAAAAGTTGCTTGTGTTTTCTGTCGACAGCGGAAGGCGACCTGCAGCACGTTACAAAGGGAGTCCTTTCATCTCCTCGCCTTCTGCCCCGCTGCCGTTTGGTGCGTTCTTGTGAGTCATCTTTCGTTTTTGCCCATCGCGATTTACCAGCTCGCCTCGTGACCGCCCGCTTGATAAATAGAGGTGCGACGCTTCATCGAAGAGGGATCGATGATCAAACTAATCGCTCATTATTAATGACGATCGATTCATCGTTTGGGTTGCTTTTGATTACACATTCTCCGATTTTGAAATCCTCCATGAAGTTCATTCATTATTTGCGAAAATCGATTCTTCAAGTCATCGTTCATCGCAGCCTTACGTGCTAATCAAAGTGATATTAGCGACCCTTCACGTTCGCATTTTTTTACTCTGATAACAGAAAATCATCTCCCACACGCAATAGGATAACAGTGGTCAACAGCAAATTTGAATCAGCGATGTCTTTATGTGTAGCGAATTGTTTTTTTTTAATGAACTACCTTTCAAATGACTTCAAGGAAATGATTGCACACTGATTCGGGGTGACATGTAATGGTCATATTTGCATAGCAGCACAAAGCAGTGCGAAGGAATGTGATCCCATTGTGGTCTGACGAGGCCTCATTTGGACTGCGGCGCCTCATCGCAACATAGCAGGCGGTGAGTCATCGTTGGGATGAATTGGGAGACGATGCACGTGAATGAACACGGGCGAAAAAAAGAGGCTTTTGTGTGCTCTTGTCGAGGGGAACGATGATTTGGGAGCGCTTCCGAGCACGACGTCGCCTCCCCGTGGAGTTGAATGCACTTGTTGGATGTTGTTCCAATGGAGTACTCCCACCCACTAATCGTAGAGTAATCGAATTGACAAAATGTGCAGATGTTCTTTTCCACTTGGAACTAGTCGTGGCCTCTGCTGTCAACGGGCATTTTGTCATTTTGACACCAGTCAATTGCGCCGAGTACGTCCCATGAAGCAGAATGAACGGCAGGCACGCTTTCTTGCTCAGTGCGCCTGTCACTTGATGTGACCCGATTGGCGCTGCTTTTGTGTGTTTTGTCTGCTCTCTTGGTTCCAGGCTGAGATTTTGTCCCAGCGCTGGATAGCAAAAAGGCGCATAAGCTTGAATCGCTGCGGTGGTTTTAGTCCGAGCTCGGACTCCGTTCTGCGCTCTTTTGGTCTCCGTTAATCACGATTGATTCAATTCCGAATGAAGCTGCGGCCGTCGTACGTCTTCATACTCGTCATTGGATAAAGGCTGACCGGACAAATTATTATTCGGACTATTCTTCTTCTTGTCATAATATTTGGATGACTTAGCTCGGTAGGTGATTTAGCTACTTGATAGAGTCACAAAATTAGCCAGACTTGTACACACAAAACTTGCTTGAAATTGCATTTCTTAGCGTTTACAATCATTGCGGGGTAGTAGAAGTCCCGTCAAACTCATCTCAAAAGCGCTTACCTTTGACCCTGGAAACCTTGGATCGGGGCACATTGGTCTTTAGCCCGACGGCAAGCGCGTCCGTCACCCATTTCGCATTGAAAGCGACGCGATAGGCAACCGTTTTGTTGAACGCTCACCCTCATTTGATCCGGCTTGCACTTAAACGCGTTTTGTGTCCTCCGTGCCCTCGGGTGACGACGGCGCCAATGTCACGACCCCTCGTGAAGACAAACTGAAGTCGGAGCTTGGCACGTTCCCGGTTTGGCGCACTTTGCTCGGACTTGCCTGTGCTCTGGCCCCACGAACGCACTTTGCGGTACGCGCACACCTTCCGTGAGAAGAAGAATAAGCGGTTCATTGTGACGTGCGCTCGCTCATAATGCGTCGTGAGCGCCCGCTGACCATCCAGATGGACCGGCGTGATATTGAGTAGCCCCAGCGTGACGAGCCGTCTACTGTCAGACTGAAAGCTTGTCGTCAGTTTGCGTCACAAGCACAAAATTCCTGCTGTTGGAGGTTAATTGGTTTACTGGAAGCGTGGCCGCAGGCAAGAAAAAAAAAAACCCGACACTCCCACGTGCCGCTCTTCCTGTCCAGACGGTGCAACCGCCACAAACAATCCAAACGTCTTCTAATGAGTTAATTGGTTTCGGTGGATTTTTATTTTTATTTTTTTGCCGTGTGTGTGTGTGTGTGTGTGTGTGTGTGTGTGTGTATGAATAATCAAAGGTTGTCAAACGTGAAGTAGTGTTGGCTGCCCGGTTGGTGAATAGTGCGCTTGTGTGAGCTTTGAATACACCCCCCAGCTGACATCTTTCCGCCACATTCCCACTCACCCTCAGCCTCCTGCTTTGACTCTGCTGCCTGTTTTTTTTTTTTTTTTTTTTTTTTTGGGTCCATATCCAGATAACGATTAGTCCAAATAGGAATTCTGGGAGTTATGTCAGGTATGTAGCAAGAGCGGTGTCAAACATATCCTCCCACGTGCATTTCGGTGCACGAGGAACACTCCTCAGCAATGAATTAGTCAATTCTTTCTTGATGTGAACAAGCATTTTTTTCCTCTGCTTGTTCCGATCCTCCTGATTTTCCCAGCAATTAATAACAATTGATTGATGCGCATCTGAGGGATTTGCTCTTCTGCCCCCAGTGATTGCATGACCGTGCAGTGCAGCGCCCCTAGTGATGCAAGGAGTGAAAAGCACCCCAAAAGTCACTGAGGTCGCCATTTTGAATCGTCACAGTGGACAGGTGGGATCACATCCACTTCCATCCTCTTTCTTTTGACAAGTTCAGGCACAATTTGTAAGTACCGCGACACAGTGAGACACGTTACTGTACGTTGTGCAAGTTATTGATCAGCAAATATCAATATTTCTCCTCAAATACTGACCGTGGAATTGCTGAATAAGCTCGAGAATAGGGCTGTGACGTTGAGCGTCATTTCACATGTATCATTGGATGCTGTGCAAACATTGGTGTCGTGTTTCCGTTTGGATGCGGTCCTACAAGAAAGTCTTGGATAAAAATAGCAAACGGTGGATTCTCATTGTCGTGTTTTTACTGGAGGATTGTTTAGCTCACTGCTCATATCAACCACACGGTTAGGTTAGGGCAGAAGAGTGGCCATTCTCACGTTGCGCTGCAGCAACTGTGATCTCAAACGTGCATGGCTTTAAAAGGTGAGGCTTGGTGAGTGACTTGGGTGGCGCTGAATGAGAATTTTGGCTGGCTGTTCACTCCATTTGTTTTTGAAACATAGCGCTGGCTAAAGTCTGTGTGTCGAGTTCCCCGTTCCATGTTTGTTTGTTTTTTTTTTTTTCCTGACCGTTTGTTCAATAAAGCGTTTGAAAGTGCACCCGTGGTTGTTTTGGTTCCACTCGGCATACATTCAGGGAGTTTCTGATGACAGGAAATGAGCCAACCCGAGCAAGTTTTTGGTTATGTGTGTGTGAGGCCCACAATTTATTTAATGGTACTGAAAACAACAAAAAAAAAAAAAAGTTGTAAATGTCAACCAGCTTTCAATGCAGATACTGCAGTTCTTGATAACTTGGGATTTGTCTGCTCTATTTGTCCCCCGCTTCAGGACCTGCAGTGAAGACGTTGCTCGGTGCTCCTTGTCGAGATCCAGCTCCCTCTTGGCCTCGTAAGCCGCCACTGTGAACCTGACTGACTTTCAAGGAAATTCCTCAGGCCTCCCGGGTCAGCCCTGCATTTCGCTATCGGGTGCCTGGCGCAGCTGCACAAGCTTCGGTTTCCACAAAGGACGCGCGCCTGAAGCGCTCTCGGCGGGCAGGACACAAACAACCCCACCATGACACGCTGTCAAATGTAAAGGAAGAAGAACAAACTTTTGGTGTGTTGTGATCTGCCTTGGATCCGTCCGATTCTCCGGGTGAGTACTACGCTCGCAATTGGCGACATCTTAGCGGAACCGCTTTTTCTGAAGAGCTTATTTCTCACCGAACCGGCCGGCCCGGATCGGTCAGCGCGAGTGCGCTCCCACCGCACATCATAAAAGTGCAGACTTCATTTCCCGCGCGCGGCTCATTTCCTTTCGCTGCTTTATGGCGTCAATAATTGGAATGGAACCGGCCGCTTCTCCGGTCCGGGAATCGTGTTGCCGCCGCATTGTCGGGGAACAAATAAGACCGGTCGCGGAGGAGCTATTTCAGATCGACAACCGGCAGGCTGATTTGATTGAGTTAGTTGCTAGCTTGGATGTGTTGTCATCAACGGCAAATTGCTTCTTCTTTTTAAGCTCGTAAAGAAGAGTTTGATCGACGGCACCCGGCGATGGCCACCGAAGAGAAGCGCGCGGCACCTCCGTCCGTCGCCGTCCGGCCCAGGAGAGGACCCGGACGCTCCGGCGTTAGCCAGGAAGTCCAGTTGTGGCCGCCAAAGCCGCGCAGTATCCCCGCTCTCCTTTACGACGGGAAGTTGTCGTGCGGCACGGAGCTGGAGACCATTTTGGGCCCGGCGTACGGCTCTCGTGAGCACAGCCCGGAGGTCGGCCCTTCTCCGGGGCGACTGCTGGCCAAGGGAACGGACGCCATTGCCTCAAAGCTCGCGAGAGTTTGCGAAAGAGCTCGTTGCCCGCTGGACTTTATAAATGAGGATGCGAAAGAAGGCAGAAGTGGCCCCTGCGCCCGCGTCGCCGGCCGTGACCGCGCAGCAGACTCTCGCCGGCGTCCCCCGTGCCGCTCCGGCTCCAGCCCCGCTGGCGGTCCGGCGCTCGGCCGCGCCTCCCGGCCGGATGGGCCGCATCTCCGTCGCTCCAGCCTGCCCGCGTCGCCGGCGGATTTCCACCAGGTAGCGAACGGCGGTCCCCCCGGGCCGCGCGGTTTGGAATTGTAAAGGCTGAGGCGGCCCAGTTGGTCCCGCAGCCGACCTGACTTGATTGGAGACTAGGTAGTGGCCCAAAGAAAAGCTGACTGTCTGAAACGCTTGTGTCGGGCCAAAGCCACGTCGGGCCGCTCATCTGTCGTCTGTTTTCCACTCGCAGACGTCGCCCTGCCGCTCCTCCCGACGCAGCCCGTCCAGTGAGCCCAACTCTGTGGCGTCCTCGCCCCGCAGTTCCCCCCTGCCCTCTCCCCGGCAGCCTGGGCGCAACGGACACGTCCTCCGTAAGCCGCTCTCGGACGGCTTCTCCAGCTTCGAGCGGCTCCGCGGAAACGGTTGCTCCTTGGAGAAGTTTCTCCAATCCGCGACGCCGGCCCTGACGCCCGACGAGCGCTCGTCCTCGCGAGGGACGAGCGGGAGCCGCCGCGGCGACGAGGGGGCCGAAGAAGACCCGGAGAACTCGGAGTTTGTCCGGAACCGGAAGGAACGTTCCACGGTCCTGGTGAGACGCTTCTTGAAGAATAATCAGAAGGTACGGCCGTCTTTTTGGGGAAGAACCTTTTCGCCTGCGTGGCGTGTCTTCTCGGAGCGCGAAGCAGCCGACGCGGCCGCGCTAAGAGGACTCCTTTGTCTTTCCGTAAGGTGACCAAGTGGGTGTGCGCCGGAACCCGAGCGATCGTGCGGACGCTGCCCTCGGGCCGCATCTCGGAGGAGGCCCGGCGGGACGTCATCTGCCGCCCGACGTGGCGACCCGGCAAGAAGGACATCCTGCCAATCCTGCCGCGCCGTGCGGGCGAAGACCTGCGAGTCTGCCGAGAGCTGTTGCGCTTCGTCCGGGCCAAGATGCGCCAGGTAAACGGGAGCCCGAGTCCTGGTTGATGGGCTTGCTTTCTTTCTTTCTTTCTTGAAGTAAAGCAGCGGATGATCGGGAATGAGACATGCCCCGCCGTGTGTTTTGCGTCGCTCCGACATCTCCGCGCACAACGCACAAGAGCGAAGCTCGCTCGATGGCTGCGCTTTTGCTCGTTTCGCCCTCGGCCCATTTGAAGCCCTTCTGCTTTCTCCGATGCGCCTTGAAATGTGAAAGCCTGCGCTGCCTTTACAGAGGAGCCGTGTTTTCGAAAAGTATGTCAATAGACCAACGCGCATGCACACACAGGCTCTTTGTTCAGGCTGCGGAAAAGTCATTTATTATTCCCTGGTTAGTTCTGCTCCCCGTATTACTGACAGGCACAGTGACTGAGCCCTGTGTGTGTGTGTGTGTGTGCGGGCGGGTACGCGCAACTGGGACACACGCTGGCATTCACGGCGCCAGCAGCGTGGTTTCTGACTTTGGCCGAGTGTTTTTACGAGGCCATTGCGGTTACCGCAATTCGGCTCGAGCGGAGCCGCTTTTGTGCTTCCATTCAAATGAGGGGGCGTGGCCAGCATTTCCCCCTTTGTCCGAACCGTCAGCCCCACAATACTACGTTTTCACTCGCACTCGACAACGTTTGGTACACTGGCTCCCCGTGCAAAGTTTTTTTTTTTGTTTGTTTGTTTTCCCCCTCTGTGGGCTATCCCGCAGCCTCCGCGTGTTTATTGGTACAACTAATGACGCCAGCCAACGAATACGGGATTTTATGAGGGTGGAATATGAGCAGGGAGCAAAATGCAGCGCGGCAGCGACATTCAAGCCAGAGAAAGAAAATGACATAGGAGTGGTGGAAAAAGTAGCGAGAAAGCCCTTTCCGGAATTAAAAGTCAGAAACCGGGACACTTTGAGAGGGGAGCCAGCCACCTTCCCATAAGTAGCAAAAGCCATTTGGAAAATCATATAATATGGATTTGGATTCCATTTTCCCCATGGCAATTGAATTCACATCTTTCAGGGTGAAACTTGAACTTACTGTGCCGCAATGTTTTCGCTAACATTCTCAACATGTTAACTGTCAACAAGTGTCGCCGTGTAGCTTCTCGCCAGGGAAGTCAAAGAGACAAAGGGGAAGTGATGCCCCCCGCCCACAGGTACGCACGCCTGGAACAGGAACTGAAGCCCAAGTGTCTTCTGTGGTTTTTTATTTTTCCAATTGCAGCCCTGTCAAATCCTTTCAGTTGAGCCAAAGTGGCATCTGACTGAGCGGTAAGTGAGCGTGCGCGGGCCGACTGGCAGCGAGGCACAGTAGCGGGGGCTGCGCTCCGTGTAATTGCGCTCGTCTCATTACAGATGATACATGTCATGGGAAAGTAACAAAAATGCGGTTGGGAAAAAAAAAAACGCGTTCTCCCGAGCCGTTTGTGTGGCAGCGTGTTGGAGCATACCAAGTTCCATATCGATATCAGAGTAAATGCGTCGAAGCGGAGAGTCGCGACCTATTCATTCGAATGTCCTTTTGGTTTGGAGCGACATTTAGAAAAAAAGAATGAAAGCAGGATTGACAGTATTTGATAAAAGCAGTCCGAAGCATTTGCGTCATTTCCTGGCGGGAAAATCCCCTCTTGTCTGCGATTGGTTGCACTGCTTTAAAGCCTGCTAGCTAAACGCTAACGTATAGCATCAGTGATGCCCCGTGCTAACCATTTGAGTCATGGAGATGACCCACATTTAGAAGCGTATAACAATACTCGCAGTCATATATTCTTTATCCTCTGCCATTCCTCTCACCCGGTGATGAGCTGAGACCGTTCTTTTCATTCCCAATGTCCGGTTGCTTGTCAACCAGATACCTCCCTTCCGCTCTGGATTTGCATTGGTTCGTTGGCAAAAGAAGTGCACAACAACTTTTCACTTCTCATTGCTGGGGAAATTGGCCCGGTTGAGGGGCATGCCTCGTGACTAATATTATCATTCCTTTCTTCTCTCCCCGTGTTGTTCCACGACAAAGGAATGTGCCGAGCGGGCCATTTTCTCACTCAGCTGCGTGTTGCGGCTTAGCCGGAGATTAGCACGTGCGCGTGCGTGCGCGTGCGATGACTGCGCTGCTATGCTCTCAAACAGCGAAGGCGTGCGGAGTTTGTTTTGGCCGAAACACACGGTGGTGACACGGGAATATCAAAACCGCATCATCAACTGTGAGGGTTTTTTTCCCCCCATTTCATTGGGTGGCAGTGCGCGCATGCGCCGCCAGCTCAGGCGCCTGGCCTCTTGGTGGCCGGAGAACTGCAAGGGGGGCGTGGGGTCGTCTCATCTTGAAGGAGTTTCACTTTCTGAGACGCCGCTTTCAAACCCGCATTGAGCCAAGGCGCAGAGCGGACGACCCAAGAACGTCATCCGCCCCAAAAAGTTGGCGTTCTGAAGTCACCCTCAAATTGCGGGTGAAAAGGACGTCCGTTCTGATTTTTGATCAAGCAAATGTATTCCACCTCCCAACTCTTTGAAAGCAAAGTCACATGTTGACTTCAGCCGCATTCCCCACCGCGGCATTCCCGTGCAGAAAGAACAGGTTGACGTCACGGTCTTTGGTGGGCGGCCATCCCACCACCGCCCGCCAGCTCCATTTTGCTTGATCGAGTGGATGAAAATAAGCAAGCGCAGGGAACGGTCGTGTCGCGTGCCGTTTTGGCCCCACGCGAGACACGGCCACAGTTGATGTCAAAATAGCCCCGGCCCCTTTGTTCACGCCGGCACTCGTGACCCCGGAGGTCGGCCGGTCAGGGTTCGAACCCAAATGGAAACGACAAAATGCTCCAAGTGTGACGTCGGGGTCGATGCAAACTGAGCTCTCTTGGGCACGCTTTGCCGACTCAGCTCTTATATTGGGCCCCCGTTAGATTGTGGAGTCATTTCAAGAGCCGTGCAAAAAAAAAAAAAAAAAAGGACTTCAATCGGGTCTACTTTCCTGATCTCCTGTTCCATGACGTGACGTCATTTGAAACGAATTTTGCCTCCTCGGGCTGAGCCAGTGACAAATGGAAAGGCATCTCATGGCGCCCCCTGGGGGAGACAACTCAGCAGTGCGCAGAAAATGAGGAACCTGTCACTGGTGATCCGCTAGAGGGCAACGCTGCACGCCACGCGAGCAACCCCCCCCACCCCCCCCATTTCTCGTTTTTGGAACTTGACATGAGCAGAAGGTTCTCAGCTAGGATTCATCTTGCCATCAAAACACACAAACGTTGTGGTGAGATTTGTCTGGCACGCCGTGGAGACACGCGCGCACGAGGAGGATGGATTTGAAACACGCTGCGCAGTACCGGCCGGCGTCTCCACCTCCATCTTCTTTGTGTTTAGAGTGCGCTGACCGATAGCATCTTGCCGGCCCGTTGCATTATAACCTAATATGGGGGTTAACCTAGGCAGAGATATCAGCTCCCCCTTTTTTTTTTTTTTTCTCCCCCGCTCCTTGCTTTGGCCCTCATACTCGTTTGCTTCCCTCCTCTCTCTCTCTCTCTCTCGTTCTCTCTTCCCTTTGGCTCGCCTTGTTGATGTGGAGAGCACGCACTCCCACTCGTTCTTGCTCTCCTTCGCCCTTTCTTTTCCTCTTTCAGAGGCAGTCTGACTCTTTGGCCAGCTTTGTCAGACAACGGGGGATTTGGACGGAGTCGTCCTCAAACGTAGCAGACCTGTAAGTCGGAGCTTGCTACCGGTTTTTGCAGTTGCATTCGTCAAGTTTTGCGCATTTTGTTCCGTTGCTCTTGGTCTCAGCATTCTCGCAGGTCCACGCAGCAAAACAGTTGAATGTGACTCTTCTCCGCTTTTAAATGACGTATGACGACATGCGGAGTAACTTCTGCTTAATTTTTTTTGGGTGGAAGTTTCTTGCATATAGAGCGGGAGAACATCCGTCATGCTAGCCTGGGACCGTCGCACCGGTCTTCTGTGCCATTATGTCGCAGCTTCGTCTCGTATGACCTCATGAGAACTGTAAATGAGGGGGGGAGGAGTGCAGTGTGAAAGGATCCCGCTGGCTGCTCCCGGGTCATGACTTCCATCTTATTGGGCTCTCAACCTGGCCTTCTGTTTTCCCTTTCTGGGTTTAACACATGGTAAAATCACACAAAATACAAAAGTGCGCCACATACGTGCGTATCTTTTGCAGCCCTACGCTAAAAGTTTTTAAACATTTTTTTTTCACAAGCACAGAGCCTAATCAGGTTGAAAAAGTCCAGGCTCTGTTTGCGGTGGGAAAACATTACCTCGTGGAGAAAGACGACCCCCCACCCCCCCAAAAAAAAAACCCCAAGAACACCAGACGAGGTCAGAGGATGTGCGTGTAAGACACAATGATTGTAGTGCACGCAATCCATTTCCACCGCAGCGCTTGTTTGGGCGCACGCGCCGGGTTGAAGTCCTCCTCACCCAGTCGGCACGCAGTCCAAGGAAGCTGGGCTTCAAAGCGTCCGCTTCCTGAAATACCAAAGCTGCCGAACATACCTGCCGCCTTTTGAAATAGAGGCGACGCGGTACTCTTTGATTGACAGCCACTTTTGTCTTTCCTTCAGCGTTGGCAGGAAGAGCTCCCTCCCCCTGATTTGATTGTCTGCGTACCTTCATTCGCTGATTGGCGACTAAACGCGCCGTCCAAGATCTCCAGATTATCCGAAGAACTTGGAGCCGCGGATCACCGTATTTCCCCACGTGCAGGCTCCCTTTGTCAAAGCCAGTCTGTCCAGAGACTGCGCATGGCCACCAAGCGCCCGGCAGGCCTCCTGTGAGAGGCCAAAGGTTACCGCTGACGTCTCTGCCGCGACCTCGGCTCTGAGACCGCCGACCAGAATAACAGAGTTCGTTTCACGGCCGCCCCTCTCCCGCCAAGCTGGGCTAACCTTCACCCTTCCTGCCGTGAGTCGTCTAAAAGTAGTTTTCAGGAGAAGTGACGTCGCTGCGGGCCCTTCTTTGAATGTGCGCTTCGTGGGAGAGTGTGGCACGTTTGACGGGACAGGAGTGGCGTTTTTTTTCTTATCTTTTTTTGGGCCCCCATGCCTAGCTCGGTTTTATGCCCTGACTTGCGAGCGGAGTCTTCAGAAAGAAGTGCTACGATATCGCCAAGTGGCAGCATAAATACTGAACGATAGAGGGCCAAGCAATGATCCCTGCGAGACCCCGAGTGAGGTACCAGTGTGGTCACAGGACAAATTCAACCACTAATAACAAGAACACGATAAACTGTATATTTGGTGCTTTTTTTGTGTGCGTGTGTGTGTGTGCGTGTGTCACACGGGGAAGGGAGTACGGGAGTGTTTGTGGTGGGTCGCATTCATTCAAGCCGAGAGGTCAAGACGTGGGTGGTTGTGTTTCAGCGAGGACACTTCCAAGCTCTCGAGCTATGTGGCGCGCGTCGGCACAGGGCGCGAATTGCGAGCCTGCGTGCGTGTCTGCTTTTGTACGTTTAGTGTGCGGTCATCTTCGCGTGTGCGCGTTCCAGCTCAAAGTTCAGTACATGTGAACGCCGCCCCGCTGCGCCCTCCGCTAATCCCCTCCCAGAATGACTGTTACCGGGCAGAAAATTGAATCTCATGGATTGCTAATACATCTTTGCGGACGCTTCCCTCACTTCCGAAAGTGCAGGTTCTGCGACCGTCACTCAGCTGCGAAGGAAGCGCTGAGCTTGTAACCCGATTTATTATTATTATTATTTTTTTTTTTTTATGGTCGGGTTTATGAATGTGATTTGGGACGAGTCGTTTGAGCCAAGCACGGACTTTTAGAACTAAACATGTCTCCAAAGAGGACCCCGGGGGTGAATGAGTCTGAAAAATACACAAAGGCGACGCGCAGTTTATTCCTCGCAATTTTCTTTTGTGTGGATTTCCATTTCTATCAGAGGAAATGGAGACGATCCATCCAAAAGAGACTCGTTGAACCAAAGCAAAGCAACATTATTGTGAAAAGAACTGACCCGCCGGATGTTTCGGTGCAGTGTTGATCCACGATCAACATTTTCCAGCAAAAATCATCCCCGTCTGTGTTAGTTGGCAAGCAATGGCTCTCGAAAGCAGTGAGCTGCAATATCTCTTCGATTAGCTTTTGCTTCCCTCAAAGCCCTTCTTATGCAGTGACGTAACACCCTCTACTCGCGCAACCGGGAGGGACATTTACCCTTCACCACAACCCGAAACTGGAATCGTGTCCGGGGGCAGCTGCCGCTGGCGGCCTCTAATTTACTTTGACCGGACTTCAACCATTAGTGTTTCCTGTCCACTCGGCGTAACATGAGCTCCGGGGCGGAACCAGTGGCGGCTAATGTAGCACGTCGCTGGACTTTGGTAGCTCGCTCAAAGCGACAATGCCCGCGGGTGTCATTTTGACGCGAAGCAAGTCTGTATGTCCTGCGCTCGCTTGCCATTTGAGGACAGGGATGTTTGTTTGTGCGCGCGTGTGAAGGCAGCTGCCGGCTGTCCGTCAGGGGCGGTGTCTTTGTTGTTGCCGGCCTCTTCTCTCACGCACTCACACTCTCCTACTTAGTTCCATTGGATCAGAAGTCAAAACGAAACCCGTTCTTCGCAGGAGTGTCATCACGAGCGCCCAAGAACAGCAAAAACTCTCTAAAAAGAAAAAAAACAAATCTTAAAATGTGTCATTCTGTGCTGTGATTGGTCGGTCTGTGTTTCGGGGGCGTGGCTTAGCCACCGGCTAACACTTGAGGTGAAATGGCTGTTGAGCTTGAAGTGAGTTGATGGACGTGGGACAAAAGTTTCATGGGGGCCTTTGTGCAGCAAAATACAAAGCCGGCCTCGACGAATCGCTTGGCCTCTCCGTTGTGTCAGAGCCGGCGGACTATAGAAAGTTCAGATGATTGTGAGCAGCAAACTGAGTCACTCAGAAAGGCATGCGGGCTATGCACAACGTAGGCCAAGTCCGCTATTTTGCTTCACGACTTATCTCTTGAATGTGGAAAAAAATGCGTTGTTAAGCTAGCGGACTTTGTGTCGATTTGGCATGGACTCGTTTCTTGAGGACCGGAGGTCAGTGCTCTGATGGTCGACATCCTCATGGAAACCGCTGTCCCCCCACCGCTTTTTTTGGCGGGGGGGCGGGGGGCGGTGCGCCACGGCACACTGGCCTCAATGCGTCCGCCTCAACTGGCGCTCGCCGTCTGTAAACGTGCTCGCCGGTAGCTCCCATTTCCCCTCGGGACGCTCCAGATCTGATGGGGCGAGCGACTCCCCGTGCAGGAAACCCATCCCTGGAGTTGGGCCTGCTGTGTTTGTTTAATCCTGGCTCAAAGTATGAGGAGGAGTTGGACTCGTCGTTTAGCGAGTGCAGCTCAACGGTAGCTGATGAACTTGCAGGAACCGAACGTCAGTGTTTTTGGCAAGCGGCTTTCGTTGCAGTCTTCTGGAAGAAGCTTTTGGTAGGATTTTTTTTTTTTTTTTCCAAAGAGTTGCTCGCATAAAAAGTGCCATTTTGAAAGAGTCCGAATGTTCCGCTTTGCCTCCCACGTTTGCATCTCTTCATGCTTTTTCTTCTTCCCTCGCCTCGACTTTGCTCCTCGCCGCACACGAAGACTCATACGACACCTTGTTCAAAGTGACCCACTTGTGCTCCTCTCACAGGTGGCACACAATGTTCAAGATGCCGCTGCACTTAACCTGACTCACCCTGCCAAGAAGCTGCTCCTGCCACCGCCGCCACCGCCACCGCCCGAGTCTGGATGCGTCAGCCTGCCGCTTTCTTGCTGGCCGCTGCCCCCTGTCAGCGGGCGTCCACCTGGACCGGCTCGGATCCCAAGCCAGGGATCTTCTTACCCACCCAGGTTTGTAGCAGACGCTTTTTGTTTTTGCATTAATAATCAGTAAAAAAAACAAAGAAAATTCCACATCTTGGATTGAACCAAACCCCTTAAGTCCACTTAGCTGCATGCTAACCAAATATGCAAAACGCCTCTGACAGGCCAGCGACTAGCCTGTCTGTCATTCCTCATTGCGGTTCAGAATGCTCCAACTGACCCAAGTCGAGTTTGTATCAAAGAACTTTGTCACGTCTCTTGGCAGATGAAGCAAATATATTTGTTCCTCCTTCCGTTCCCTGGAAGTGAGCGCTTACGATGGAATACTCCCTTTCAATGAGTCGCCTCTCTGAGTTCCTCCTCCCTTTTCTGTTTGTTGTTTTTTTTTTTTTTCTAGGTTTTATCTGGCGTGTGGCCGGAGGACATCTGTTTGCTCCTTGCTGACCGGAGCCCTTCTGGAAGCCACGGCGGCGCTCGGGGCCCGCTCCGCCTTGCCCTGCCCGTTCGGCCAGTCCCCCAACAGCAGCCACGGCGCGCTGAAAGGTGGGTGTGCAAACTCTTTTGCGACAACAACAACCATTGTCGGTTCCAGTGGTAGCTAGCAATGGTGCCCAAGCGACGTTAGGGTCTGAGGTGTGAGGTCTGCTTTCTGCGACGTGCCTTTGAGGGATTTCGCTGATTGACAAAAGGGAGGCCATTCCCCCAATGTCCCCGTAGCTTCACAACGTGTTCGTTTCGGTTGTCGTTTTCCTGCGGCCTCAAATCTATCTACAGAGAGAAACAAAAAAGCCAGCTGACATCAGAGGAAGCCGCCGTCGGCGAGTAATCCCAAAAGTCAAATGACCGTGTGACTCAGCGTCCAGTCGGGTTACTCAGCCGCCTCCCCGCGCCGGCGTTACGTATGACTGGAACGTAAGCTGAGCCGGACGTGAAAGTCGTCCGGCGGCGCTCGGCGGGAGGCCCGCCCCCCGCGTGCGCGCTGTCAACATTCGCTTGCGGCCAGCTTTGCCGTCTTTCAAACAGGGGGCGCGCACGCCTCACGTCCCTGAAGCTCCACGCCGAGTCGTTTGTGAGCGAGGTCTGGTGTTACGCTTGTCTCCAACTGCTAACAGCAGCGCCGACCAGTTGCTCGGTTGCTCCTCCAAGGACTTGGAGGCATGATTGCATGTTCGGGAGATATTTCAGCTCGACTTTGGATGGCGCGTTTCATGTGCTCGTTCCCATATACGGCCTTGTCGCGCCGCCCGCCTCCTTTCATGCGCTCTCGCAAACGCAGTGTCCCGATCGCGCCGACTTGCCGGGGAGCAGACCTTGAGCTGGTTTGCTGACAGGAGAACGACGCCGCCCCCGGGGTCGGACATCCATTTACTACGGCTGCCGTTTGGCCTCGCGCGCTTGAAACGTTGTCCAATTAACGATGATAGAAGAGGAGGCCGGCCCGGGAACGATGAATGCGACGGCCCGGCGTACATGATCGACGTGATGAGGCTAATAACTCGATACGAGTCGCGGTGATTCGGAGCCCTCCCGCTAAATCGGCTCGCCTCCTTCCCAACGGTTCTGGAGGATGGATGGCCCGCCGAGCAAACGACTCCAAAGGCAAATGCCGGCCGGCGTTGGAATCGTGTGTTTTGGGGACACGGGCGTCGTAAACGAGCACGCTTGAACGCAAAGTCTCGCCGTCATGAATAAAGGCGCTTGCTTTTCTTGTGACTTTGAAAGCCTCTCCGGCTCGTCGTGTGCCCAGATTTCACCCCGTCCAATAGAAACGGGAGCGCTTTCAGCCTCATTTCCTTGCTAACACAATTTAGTGCACGGCTGAAAAGGAAGTCGGTCGGGCTGCCGTCCCTCCCTCAGCTCGATATTGCCCTCTTTCAATCTACTTTTCTTCCCTCCTCCTTTTTCTGTCTCCCCTTCTGTCATCATTGGACATTGTGTTGCCCGCCAGCCATTTAAGAGCCACTGACAGCCGACGCGGTGGGGAGTCGTAGTCCGGGGAAGTCTCAAGGAGTACATATTGTTTACGCAACCAGACGCCAGCTAAAAATATCCAATTGAAAAGTCTCATGGGTTTCCGTAAAGCAATTGCTCATTCGGTGCTCTCGTTTGTAGAAAGTAACATGGCGACAGCGTTGGGGAACAACTAAACATGATACGGCGACAAATACGTTCACCGTTGGTAAAACCCAAATGTGGAAAGAACGTCCGGCACTCCCATTTTTCAATTGGAATGACAAACGTCTCCCGTAACAAGCCAAAGAAGATGCCAAAAGCACGTGTTTGGTTCACTGAGAAATGAAAGAAAGGGTCAAAGAATGAAACCATGCATATACACTTTTTTTTTTTTTTGTATGACAAGTTTTAAATGTTAGTTTTTTTTTTTCGCCGGCCCATGTGCGTGTGTAACGTTTGGTGGGCTTTTTGTTATGTTTCGTCCCTCAAAAATGCCAATTCATTACGGAGGATAATAATAATCATGTTGTCTTGAATGTACTGCCTACAACGGGCGCCGTCATTTTCCTTCAAAGCACCACACAGTGAAGTCGACTTCTTGTTAACCTTAACTTAGACTGGCATTTTTCTTGTTAAAAAACACTTTGAGGCCTCTTTTGGGAGGCTCCTGACTGAAATGTGACCCATTTTCGATGAGATGCTCCCTTTGCCTACCCCTCCTTGTGCCCGCGCTGATTCGTAGTCCTGGCGCAGTTTGATTGGCTGTCCGCTCGGCGGAACGCTCGCACACGGCTGTGTGGGGGAGAGAGCGAGGGAGTCAATGTAGTCAAGTGAAAGAACGAGCGAGAGAGAGAGAGGCAGAGAGGCGCAATGCAACGTAGGAGATGAGAGCGCCGCAGCAGTCGCGGGGGAAAGCGGCGCGCCGGCTCGAGTGGGCAAGGCCACCTCGCCACTGAAGCGGCACGCGGCGCGGTCAGCTGCGGTGGGCGCTCATGAAGCCCTCAAATAGAACCGACCTCAAGCTGTTCAGTAAGTCGAGCCGCTCTTCTCGGGCGCGTTACTCAAATCGGGGGCTTCAACATATTTGGTCGGATATATTGCTCCAGGGTTGCTCACGTGTGTGTGTGTGTGTGTGTGTGTGTGTGTGTGTGTGTGTGTGTGTGTGTGTGTGTATATATATATATA